ACGATGTTATGGATGAACAGATTTAAATATCTTTTTTATTTTGGTGATCATTTGCATGGTACCACAGTATATTTTATATTATATTAAGTGTACCTGTATTTATTTCGGTAGTTGACTTAGGTTAGGCATAAGTAAGGTAGACAATAATAAACTGTAGTATTTTTTATTTATATATGGGTTAAACGCACGTGTGAGATGAACTACACTATGCCTGACGTTTTTATGTTATACAGCGGCGTACCCAAACATAATAATTAATGCGTGCTTTAACAATAAGGTGTCAGACAAATAGGGATCATTATAATCATTATCATAATGTTATGGACTGCCGACTTACAGGACACAGCGAACCATAATATATTTATGTACCTACAATGTGCGTATAGTACGTATAGTTGTTAATTATTTGCATTGCGTGTAAACAATTTAAATAAGCAAAATCGTCGCTTTATCATTGTTGTTCTTGTATTAGTACCTAACTAAACAAGATGATGTATTTACGTCATGTAACAATTATATGGGTACCTATATAAAAATTAACGAAACAAAGATTTTCATAAATTATGATACATTGAGTATGGATATGGTCGATACAAGAAAATAATATAATAAATTATTGTTGTAATTGTCGCGCTTATGTTTTATAGATACGTCACAAAAATAATACGATTTAAGAAACGATAGTTATATCATGTAACATTGCATATTAGTCTCTAATAAAATTGATAGTTAATTTATAGGTACAGATCAACTTGTCGATAATAATGTTTTATACACCTGGTGCTTATTTGCTTCTTGTCAAATAATACAATACAAAGTAATTATAAGTCATTATTTTGATATATGATATTCCGAATCACAACGTAAAATATTAGCTTAATATTGTATATTGCGTATTACGCTGCAGTTATTTGTTTCTATTATTCTATACCTACTATAGATACCTACATAATGAATCATTTATAAAAAAATACCCGTACTTAAGCATGCATTATAATATAAGCTGATTAATTTCTATAATGATTTGTGTGTTCTCATATATTATACATAGTGCAAGACGTTTAAGTATAGCATAATATACTATATAATAATATGTATAGGCGTAGTGCACTAGTGTAGCATGTCCTACGTAGTAACATACAATTACTTGAGTAAATTATAATATGTAATAATATAATAAATACAAATTATGATTAAATATTTAGTATATATTTTAAGCGTAATATTATATCGGTTATAGGCACATATTTTTTATTTTCGACATTAAGATTTAAAACATTTAAGACGTATAGTAGGTAGGATGTAAGACACATGATTCATTCTAGACAAATACAACAGGTAATTCGTATAGGTACACGTGCATAATAATATACTATGTATACGATTTGAACTTGGTTTCGTCGTTCCGAGAAATCGAATAATGATAATGATAGTTTAAGTATTTACCGTCGGGTGTTAGTGTAACTTTTTAACACATTTTGCTGTATAGGTACTAAAAAAAAGTCAACATTCTCGAACACGTTGTTGTTAATCATCACGTAACGATGTCCGTCAAAAATAAAACTACTTATCCAATACATATAATATACTATGTAATATGTATAAGTATAGGCCTAATTTTTTATATTTATACGCAATAATACAATATAATATTTACCTCTGAATACAACTATACAACAGCAAACAATGCTCTTTGTATTAATTCAATAATTATGGTAAAATAAAAATGGCGGTTCGTTTTTGTTCATACTAGGTAGGCACATACACCTATATATTATTATAGTATAATATATTAAATAATAGTTAGGTAAACGCAAAAACTATTACTTTCTACACGTTCATTTACCACCAATACATTTTTTACCATGATATAATATATTTAAGAGAATAGTGAAGTCTTAGCGAGGAATCTATTTAGGAAAGCGGGCCGATTGAAACCGATCGTGAAATTGTATATGTGCACTCTTCAATACAATATAATAAGTTAGAGGTAAAAAGAGAGAGAAAAACGTCATCGTTATTATTACGGACGAGCGGGGAAATAACATATACCTAAATTGCATTATTATAACATACATATAGGTAATAGTGTAATATACACTAAACACTGGCAATATAGATAAATATCATAGTGGTTGTGCGTAACAAAACGACGAGACTATCGAACAATATAATGTATCAAATTGTGTGCATTTCAATCATTTAAATGTTTAAATTTCACTAAACATATACACGCACTATGTGCATATATGTACACATAATACGCTCCTATATAGCAACGTGAGTGATTTCGCGTGTATACTTCGATGTGCAAGCAGTGTATAGTATAATAGTATAGTGCAGGTACACTGGTACCGGTGCACACATTATTACGAATAATATTTATTGATGTTGTAATTATAACGGACGAGCGTTCGGTGATCGTACATTACACATATATTATTATCATTCAGCCGGCTTACTCGTCTACCTCGATATATAATATAGGTACATAGTCACGCCGCACGTGCATTTTTTCAATGGCGTCGGCGTCGTTGGTGTCCGTCACAAACATCATGCGCGTTGTTATAGTGCAGTCGAATATATAATATTAACATTATATACCCGTTTTAAGAGGGTATAAAAATACGCCAAAACGAAACGGTTATTGAAATCGCGTTGGGGGTTTTATTTTCCACATACGTACGTCATAGGTATTTAGGTACCTACAGTAATATTGTAATAGACTGCACCCACCCCGCACGCGCATGTACCTGGTATACTATAATATGTAACGATGTGTAGGTGATGGTATATTATATACCATCGTATTTATATGTAGTACATCGAACATAATGATAGTATAGGTACTGATGAGTATACCGAAGTCCCTTGGTCGTAGGTGTGTAGGTACATATTATAATGTCGCACGTGATGTGTTCGGGCTCGTAAAAAACCATCGCACTCGACCACCGACGGACTATACGACCGTGCCGAGTGCGCGTGACGCGGTCCGTGCGAAAAGAAATTATTGAAGAATTAACCGATGGCGGCCGCGGCATTTTATATGTCTCCGTCGCGAAAGCAAGCGATTTTTTACGACGGCGTTGCGAATCACCGCAGCGGAGATGCGATGTAATGTGCAGTATTATGTATGCGCGTCTGATGGTTTTTTTTGGGCTCCGTGTATAACTATACCTACCTATATTTAATATCATATTATCTGCGGACGCAAATTTCGTTGCCCCTAAGAACCGTAGGTACTGCGCAATCCGAACTTGCGGGTGTTCTCGACTTTTCAGAAGGAACAAGACTCCCTTCGGCCATGTGCATTTAGTCGCTCGAGGGGGGTATTTTAAACGTTGACGATTTCTGCAGGTCATATGCCTCTGAACGATTATTATTGTGCGACTATCTAAAACGTACCTATACCTATACCCACCTACAATGTGCATCTATCAGAAAAGTTATTATTATATACTATAACTAACAAAAGTTATTTTTACAAATAAATTCATGACAATATAATATGTATATACTATGACGTATAGTTTTGTTATAGTGTAATATTTACAGTTTCGATATAGGTAATTGTATGACATTTAGGGTTGGCAGTTCTTTAGACCAGGATATAATTCTACCAAAAATTGATTTTTACTGGATCGAGGTTTGTGCGTTTTGTCTTGATATAGAGTAGGTATAACATCTGCATTTTAGATGTGCAATAATATCCGGAATTGGCGATAATAACAAACGATTTTATAATTTTATTAATCTATTAAGACATTTTAATATTTCAATATGTCTTCCGAAGTTTTGGACCTCATAACAGTCATAACTATATGTAATAACATGGTTTCGTGCATCTTAAGCGGTTAAGTACCTGCACAATAAAAAAATTCAAATTTTTTAGGTTGGTTATGATGGTTTTTACTTCTCAGGACGGATACTGCGGTGCCAATTTGGCGGCAAAAGAGTATCGAAACGAAAGTGGTATTGCGCCCAAGTAGTAATTATTGAACTCAATATAATATTTAATATTAATATGCGAAATGGGACTTGCTGCAGAGTACTATTGACAATTATGAGACTTATTAGGTTTTAAAATATTAATATCGATTTAACGTTCCCCTTGGAAACATTAAACTTATTTTAGTTGTTATCTGTTGCCTACACATAATTACAATTTAAAAACAATGTGTGACTGTGAGTCATTTATTCAACCTCAACACTTCCGACATAATATTTAGAGGTCTATTTAGTTGTGGCTTTGAAGTGTCCCAAAAGTGCCCAAACGTCGTATGGGATAGCTGATTATGTTATGTCAACGGGTCAATGTAATAATTTATTTTATACGATATACCGTTTTCTAGGTATTACGGTCGTACGGCGGGTTGATGACTACATTATTAATGTCGTCAAAAGATTTCGGATTTTTTTGCCCTAATCACAATTGAAACGCTATCGCGAAAAAACAAAACGAATCCTAGACGGCTAGACATGACGTGTATATTATTATTATTTATTATAGACATCGGTGCACACACATATATGCCATACATATATATGTATATTGTAACAAGGTACCTTTATATTATTATTATTATTATTATTATTATTATTATTATTATTATTATAACGTGCGGCGGCCGCGACAGTCGAAAGAGGCGTACCTGCGGCGCGTGCTCGCGTGCGTGCGTGCGCGAAACGGGCGACGGTCCCCCTTCCACGGTTGCCCAATAACCGCTCCGGCGGCCGCCAATAACCTGTGGTAACAGCCGCCGCCGCCGCCGCCGGACCGTTTTCGTCGCCGTCTCTCCGCCGCCCGGCGCGTCGTCGCGTCTCCGTCGCGCGCGCGCGCCCGACTGTGTACCGCCGGGACGCGCGGCGGTGGGCGGCCGGTGGGCGGGGCCCGGCCGGCATCCTCCTCCTCGTCCACGTCCTCCGCGCCCATCCTCCCGGGCGGAGATGATTTTTTTCGTGGTCCACGAGGACGGCGGTTTTCCTGCGGCCCGAGATGTCGCGCATTCACGATCAGTCGTTCTGCTCCGCCGGACTGGGGTGCGTTCATCTGACTGTATCGCCAGCGCGCAGTGTTGTATAGTTTACTTGTGTGCATCAGTCGTCCGCAGACTCCCGGGAAAACTCGTTTCTCCTCCGAGCCGCGCTCATCGCGTCACTCGTCCATACGATATATATTATTTCGTATATTTTCGTACATACATTAAACTACGGCTGATATCTCGTCTTTATCGGATTTATTCGTTTTCATTTTCGGTTTTTTTTTTTCCTTTTCGGCGTCGTCTTGGTAGCCACCCCCGAGAGGAGGGTTCCTAACGACCCGCACGCGGTATTCGTGTCGTCGCTGTTCGCCGGTCCCTATCGCTTCGTGCTGACGGGACATTTTTCCACCCCATATTTGTGGTACCTAGACATGTGACATGAAGGCTACAATTGTGATCAAAACAGTTGTACTGATGGCCCTTGTGGTTGTCGAGATCTCCAGAACTTTTGCCAAACACCGCGAAGGAAAATATAAAGGCACCCACTGGTGGTAAGTAGTTTTGTTATTAGTCATCACTCATTTAATAATCTAATTTATAACTATTATTGTTCTAGATACGTATATTTGCGTTATTTATTTGCCTTTTCACGTTTATATACGAATCTTACTTTAATCATATCATTATTTATTTATTTATTTATTTATGTATGATCAAGAGTGGTTGTTCATATTATGTTATATACTATACTAATTTATTAAATAATATACAATAAGTGTGTCTAATAGTTTTGTAGTAGTTAAATTATAAAATAAATTCGTATTGAAAATATAATATGTTTGATGCTATTTATTTATTTAAAATATTTTTTAATTCTAAAAATATCGCTAGCTTATAATTTATACATATTTAAGTATTAAATAATAATATTGTACTTAACTTAATTCTAATTATAAAACAAAATTAAAATTATATTTATGACATTTATATTTGCTTAAAATATTAGACAATACTTATTTCAAAACTAAATTAAAATGATTATACAAGATATAGTAGGTACAAAATATAGTTGATAAATTATTGAAATCTTGTAGAATTTACTAACATAGTAAATTGTAATGGACAAAGTAAAATGTTATACATTTTGAAATTCGAAATTATTGAGTATATTTATTTATGGTCAAAGAAAATCATATTTTATTGATATTGAATTGTAAAATATTATTTAGTCACAAATAATTATTATTCCACAGCAAATATATTAAATTATAAAAAGAGATTCACACATTTACGAGGTAATTAAATAATTAATATTTTAAGAAGTTCGTATTTGGTTATATATTTTTATTTTACAAAATTTTTGTTAATATTTTTGAGAATAATGATAAATCATTCCATATTTTCATTGAGAATGAATTTTATCTGAGTTATAACTAACCTTCTTCAGATAATATTTTTACTATTGTGTTATTCACGATTTTCTTCATAATGAAAAAAACAATATCGCAAAATGAAAATGACATATAGGCTTATACAATTATAACTATAAAGTTGGTACCTATAATGATATTTTTTACTGTCTCAAAAACTGTTTTGTGTACAAAACTAAAAACCTTTAACAAAAATAAAATCTATCTCTGGAGTGAAAACAGTTAACTCAATGCTCTCTTAGAAATTAAGAACAATTTAAATTCGTTTAGTTTTGTGAATAAAACCAAAAGTATTAAACTATTCTTGATCTAAATAACTAATAAGTATTAGTTTCTTTAGTTATATAATATAATATAAGGATTATTGCATGCAAATTATTTAGTGCACACTGATAAGTGATAACTTTTATTTACTACTAAATGTTATGAGTAATACAATTTGAAAGATAATATAACTGACTTAATTAAAAAATATAATAATGGGGTTAATTTAATTATGTATAATATAACTGTTAATCATTATGTTTAAATCGTTAAATGTGTAGTATATCTATAACAAATATAATCAGATAAACTAATGAATCATCAAAAATTGTATTGTAACTCTCTCAAAAGGTCAATAAATAATTTTTATGTATATTATGCCTACAAGATACAACCAATTAAAAATACTATAGTAAATGCTTTGTTAAGTTGCTTTGAAATTATTAAAATATATTTTTAAATACCTACATATTTTATTATTTTGTTTTAAAAATATTTAAAGTATCAATTAATTAACTACATAATGTTTAAACAAATGCTCCTTATTTCTTTAATATTTTTTCAACTCGTTAATATAAGAATAATACCTTTTATTTGTTTCATACCTAAATTCTGGGAACAAAAAAAAAAATACAATATCTGGTAGGCGTTGTGTGAACGATGTAAAAGAAAAACGAAATAAAAAAAAAATGAAAAGAAAAGACAAATCTTTTTTATTCACATAACAGTATAACACAAACAGCAGAAGATCCAACCTAACCTACTTCTATAGAAAATAATATTATTATATACCCTTTTGAGAAATTTATACCGTTTGATTCATTCAAACAATTCAAGCATAATCTTATTGGGTACCTAGTATACGATTTATTATTTTATTATAGTGTGCGAGTCAACGATTATAACATAGAAACCGGAAGGAATGTCACCACGATCTCAGCGTGAACTATTTGATAATGTTACCTAGGAGTTTTTTTTCTTAAACATTTGCTTACTTTTTATCTACCAGACATTAAAAGGGGTGGACAGGGTCAATTGAGAAGAACCCTAATAAGAGACACAGGGGAACCACCCAAAGTGGCCGTCTGTATGTCTAGATGGCTATCTGAGACTATTGTGAGTAGTTGACAGACATGTATAATACACGCACGCGTTTCAATAGAAGGGCATCATCGAACCCCCCTATTAATTTCAATTTGCACAGATAATAGGGGAAAAAAACTGTTCCCCAAAACGAGAGCAATATATATATATATAAATACGTAGAGGCTTTTACGTTATCATTTTTTTTAAATCTTTCAAACCATTGTAAAGATATATGAATGAAAAAATACAAAACGCATATTTTGATGAAACATTTTTCTGTCCCCCAGTCCGAACAATAATGCTTCGTTTTCCGGCATCTTTTTTTTTATCTAAGGCAGATAATTAAGTTCTTAAAAATAAAAAATAAAACAAATATCCGCCGAACAAATGATGATGTCATACACAAACGCACACAAACGCACGATAGATACCATATATATTGTGTGTATAATATATTATTTGAATAGCTATAAACGTTTAAAAAATATAATAGTAGGTACTTATGATTTACATTTTAGGTTTAATATATTAAACATATCTATTTCAAACTTGAGACGCACTTTTTATTCTTTCCTTTCGCTATTTTATAACAATATAATTATAATATATTGTATAAACACATAATGTATGTATGTATATAGAGAAACATAATGGTTGGTTTCTATACACTTGAAAAAGAATACGATCGAGATGTCTTCATAAAAATTATTGTTTAGCCATTAATATTATATTATATTATACAATAAATGTAAACAAATTAGGATGTACGTTGCGCGCGTCACTGAGCATTATTTTTTATTACGATTTAACTATGTATTTTTTCTTCTGGATTAAAATAGCGATGTTGATGCACGTGACACAATTCAGGATGATTTTATTATTATTATGTTTAACTCTCTCGATAACTTAAGTCACTGGACAATAATAGTAATAATAATCATAATAATAATGATAATATGACAAGTACTCGAGTGATATTTTCTCACGATGACACTTGTAAGTCGTAAGTCAAAACGGTTACCTATAGGTTTTTTTTCTCAAGTCCATCAATCTGTCGGACGTGTTTCCGTCACACAAATATATATCAACGCCGCCCTCCGTCGACGTCTTCGATAATATATGACTGGTGCACTCGAAATTACGCGGCCCCTGCAGTACACGTGTATAGTATATTATACTGCGGCCAACAGTAACTATAAGTGGTAGTAATTGTAGGTAGTAGTCGTCATAATAATAACGATGATAATAATAATAATAGTAATCATAAAGCTGAGGTAAAAATCATTTAGGCCGCTAATTACCTACCGCGGTACACCTCTATACCACGGGACGAAAAATGTTGTTTGTTAATTAATTTCCGGTTTAGGACAGGCCCGGGCAGTAGGTAGTAGAGTTATTATTATTATTTTTTTTTTCAAATTTGAAACCAATAATAATAACACAACGTTGTACAATACACGCGTAGGCATATATATATACAATTTAGGTACTTCAATACTTCATGCATCGGGTTTGTTTCGAAATACGTTCGCGCGCTGCACTAATGACACTATCTATTATAATATGTTATATTATATATGCGCGGCAGTGGTGGTGGCAGCGGAGTCGAAGGAATACCATTTCGAGTAGTCTACACACGTGAAGTAGAAAAATGCTCTTGTCTCCGACGAGAATCCATTTTTTGCCGCGTATAAAATTCTATAACGTCCACAACATTATTTTTTATTACGACTTTTCACACTTAATCCCGTATTCATTATGTGAGTATCATAAACCTACATAATACTATAACTATACATGTTATATGGTCAAATTGTAACATGGGGGAGGGGCGAGTATTTCTTTGTTTTAAATTTTTTATCGTATCTTTTCGGTTATACCCCATGATCAATGAGACATTTTAATCATCGCGTACGAGATATTTTTTTTTTACACTGGCACTCCCTTCTAATTCTTTTCCGATTTCAGCTGCAATGTCGATAACACTCGCGTGATTGCTCGTATTATAAAACACCCACGCACATCGCGGACCGTCATGTTGTGGCCACGGATTATACCGCGAGATCTGCACACACTGCATAATAATGCGTAGGTATATAATATAATATATACCGCGGTATGTACCTATATATTATACACAGACAGCGGATTCTCGACGTCTGCGGGCTGCAAACGCGTACAGTATAATAATTTAATATATAATGATGGTCGATAGATAGTTCGTCTCATTTGCGAACGCCACTGCTGCAACCGCCGTTCAGGTACATAATATTCAGCCAGTCTTCTGCCCATTGTTGTCGTTGTCGTTGTCGTCCTCCTCCTCCTCTTATGATGTTACAGCTCCACGTGCGTCGACGTCCGATGACTTTAGACGGCGGCGGTCGGACGCGGACTCGCCGCTGATCGGACACGACCGTCGCCGGCCGATTTGTCCGTTATCGGATCTATCGGATCGAAACCAGCCGCATACATCGTCTTTTGTGCGCCGCTCGCGCGTGGTACTACAATGAAGTCGTATCGCGTCGTGTCTTGTGCGCGCGTTCGAACTATGCGTCGCGTTAGTGAACCGTGTAAGTTACTCGTGTGTTTGTAGTGTATATAATATATATATAGTGTGTGTGTGTGTGTGTGTGTATGTGTGTAGAAAATAAGAATCGGATGATTAACGACATTAGGAGACCTAAAATATAAAAATGTCGACCGGAATGAAGCCAGAACGCGAATATTCCCACGACAACCGATGATCAAGGGAGATAGGCTAGAGCTGAGCTAGTGATACTATAAATTACACTACTCACACATATAAACGCAAGCGCGCGCACGCGCATGCATTCTCTCTCTCTCTCTCTCTCTCCTCTACCGCTCTCGTACTCACAAAAACAAAACAAATTTATAAGGTAAAAAAACTAAACGAAACAAAAAGAAAGAAGGAAAGAGAAAAGAAAACGAGTTATGAATATAATACACTTACCTACTGCGCCTGCCTGCCTTGCCTATATACCTTTATACATTTTTTCCCCCGTTTATATAAACAAGTAAATGTCTACCGGAACATTCCTCACTGATTTATCTTTTATCTTGCACGTCAACAGTTAACGTTTTACGATAATCACCTTTTAAAGTTACTAAATTACACGCGCTCCGCTGCAGTTGTCACGTCGGCCGAGCGCGATGACGCGACTCCAGTGAATAATTTCTCCGGTAAGTCTTACCCTCTCGTGCCTACACGTACCGCGAGCTTTTATTACCGCTATTTCTAAACAACTAGCAGTCAGGCGAGTAAGGGTACACTGCGTCCGGTATGACAACGTGCGAGCCGTGTATGAAATCATGTATAATATTATAATAATATTTCTCGTGCTACAATTCACATATCTTTCTGATGCACACACGGCGCTTATAATATTTATGTAACATACATTTTTATAGTATTTTTTTTCACGACGCATAACGTAACACTATTTGTTATACAAATAATAAAATATGTTGGCAAAAAAAATGAGTCATCTCGTCATCTCGAAAATTACACGTCAAGAACCAACACACTACCTACATAATATATAATCTTGTATACCTGCAGCAACGCGCGTATTATTGTGTTATAACTTTTAAGTGAGCATATGTGTGTGTGTGTGTGTGTGTGTGTGTGCACGTCGTTGTTGGTGTTGGTCATCGCGCGCGGGTAGTCCGATAATACTATTGTACACATAATATAGTATTTTTTCTTTCTTTCCACACATTTTTCTCTGTGCTCTTGACACTGCTGCTGCTGCTCATTCCTTTTCGCAGTCGGTCTTATACATTTATTTATAATATATATATAATATATATATATATATACCGCCGATCCGTCAACACGTTCAACAAATAATATATCCCTGTTTGTCCATTATGTGCTTAATTTCTTCATGTCCAAGCAGACGGCATAAGTGCGTGTGTGTGTGTGTTTATGAACACACATACACACATACGTCGATCTCGAGTGCTTGGATCCATTGTCCAGGCACGTCGATTTCCCTTCACTCCCGTCTCGAGCACGTCCTGTAGACGTCGTCGTCAACAACGACGACGACGACGACGACACTTTGACAGTGGCGGCTGAGACACACTTCAGACCTATCGCGCGTATTGTGACTGTATATGTAAAGGAAACATCTCAATGCATAATATTGACCGTCGTCATCGCGTGGTCAAAAGACGAGTGTTTTTCGTGAGTTAAAATAATAAAATACACCGAGCACATAACATTATCGTCATGAGATTGCAAAAGTGACGGTTTCTGACATATTATAAGTAGGTATAGGTACGCGTTTAGCGCCAATGCGAGACTAATCTTCCGCATCCAGCTTGGTATTTGATATAGAAAATATAGGCGTTAGAAAAAAATTAATAATTGATAATCTGGTGTCCATGTGCACGGTGTACATTTTATATTTTTTTGTGTTTATTTGCCGCATAACAGTCTTTATGTTTAACGACTAGCGCATTGTCAATAAAGACTTACGGTCGGGTTAAACATTATCGTTGGTCAAATACATAATATTTTACACATCCTAAATTGTATATAATAACTGTATACACTGGTAAGAGTCATTCTCAGTACAGCTGTCACTAAAGTGATTCATCACATAATTCGCATTCGTATGTCTGTCTGTCAGTCGCTTATTCATGGTATAAAACCGCGGGAATGTACAAATAAAAATAAAAAAATACATCGATTGTTTATTGGGAATGTTTAAGTGAAATAGAAAATATTTTAACATAATTTTATTTTTAGGCTATTTGCCATATGCATGAATAATACGCTTATTTGATAAATAATATTACTCGCAATGATAAGAAGCACTAAGTGAAAAGATCTCCTAGTGGAAGTAACATTACTTTGTTGTGAAAGAATAAAAAATAAAAAATATTATAGTATCCATGGCACGTCGGTACTATATGATATTATTCATATTATGTAACGTCGTATAACATGTTAATACCTATGTATGTTTATATATATATATGACTCATTTATACGCATTTGTATTTCAAATTAATTGATAAAAATAATATTCTCGAAAATGGGCCAGAAACTGACAACCCGACGTAATACAAGACGTTTGGTATCGATTTTTTTTTTTATTGAGTTTAAAGGCTTCAACAGCTAGGTCATTAGCTTACAATTATATTTACATTAACATTATAATTGATTGTGGTTGTTTGCTTAGCTAAATTACTGTGTTGCAATTACAGTTGTATATTATATATAGGTCAACAATGATAGCTTAAAATATACGTTTAATTTTTTTTTTCGACAACAGGGGAATTGCTAAAGCTGGCGAACCTAATAATTTGGCTCCTATGACCCCTGGCTTGATGCTCATGGACTCATCATCGTTAACGTTACTGCGCAATAAACAGAGGAGAATGATCCGCGAACATCCGGGCGTATTGCAAGCGATCAGCCGAGGCGTCAATATGGCACTGCAAGAGTGTCAGCACCAGTTCCGGAACAGGCGTTGGAACTGTTCAACTAAAAACTTCTTGACTGGCAAAAACTTGTTTGGGAAAATCGTGGACAGAGGTAAACCATTTTACTTACATTTTATATTTTGAAATCGCGCTAAATTATAAAATAGAACTCTATTATGACCCACCCGCAACTATATAGTATAATAATTTATTATTCTATGAACAAATATTATTTTTTAAATCATAAGACACAATATAAATTAACTTTCTCTTCTATATGTATATTATATATACAATGTGTACACAATGACGAATCGTTGAAACCTGTCAAAGTACATTAAATCTCCATATCGACTTAATCGCGAATTAACACTACTACGTCATCAACGTTGGCGATAACATACAAGTTACAAAGCTTTTACCCAGGAAAATTGTTAACCAGTTATGCCCTGGGATTGGCATATGGCTGTACCTATAATACACAATGTATTGATTATTATATTATGATACCGTTAAATTCACGTTAATTACGTTAAAAGCGCATTATACATTTATACTTGTAAGTTATGCATTGTTCGCCTTCCAAATGAGGTACACAATATATTATAATATTATATTATAGTCTGCGCGGGGACGCGGGGTGGTTTTTTTTACAGATGTACCTCTATATTATATACGTGCGTTCGTACTCAATCGATAAAACTGTTATAATAATATATAAATCATCTTATTGTATATAATATATAGTATAAACGAAGTAATGGTATATATTATCGAGACTTATTTACGATACTCGTGTTCTCCGCCGTGGACATAAACAATTCGACTGACGTAACAAGAGTGTTATTGTAGTACTTATAATATATATATTATGCGCGTACGTGCAGTATGTAGTATTATATTATTATTATTATTATGTATATAGGTAGATACCTATATACATATTTATGATTTCGTGATTTGCAGTAACCACCAATAATGTAAATATAAAATATCTACAAACATAGGCCACAAGTTTATATTCTGTGTTATTTTGTATATTATGCGTTGTAGATAAAGACGAAAAAACAATAAAAAACAATTAATCGAAAACAAAATTATTCATGAACATTTATCGACACATATTATGCGTTGAGGCGCCCCGATCACATCTACACGGGTATTGTTATCGTGGGATCACGCACGTGCCATGGCCGTTTTTCTGTATTCTGTTTTATTATAGTCCTACAGAAACGTAAAATAACGTTCCGTGACATTTAATTTATCGATATAATGTTTTACCAATGTATTTTCATGAATTTAAATTTAAATCGATAAAATATGATTTGAAAATACGCTCATTATTAGTTTATTAACAAATTGGGTTTATCGAAAAATGTCATCGTGAATTCGTAGCACAAGATTGTACGTATTATGATATACTTTAATTGCAATAATTAAATAATTTTATCCTAAATTGCAGATTTCTATAATATTGATTTGTTTATTTTACGATGCTATCAAAACTCAATTAGTATTAATCGATGAACAAATAACGATCAATTCATAATTTAAACGACTATAACCGATGATAATCATATTATAAGTCACAAATTCGAGTTAATTTAAAAATGATCAACTACTATAATAACATCGATAATACGACATTATTAATCGACCATTTTTAGTCCATTAATCACCATTGACGTATGGAATATAAATCTCGTCCATGCAATCTGAAAAACTTTAGCACGTACTCGGCACGTAATATTATTTTATACGACAATATTTATAAAGACAACTCTGTATAATATAGTTATCGTGGTCTGATAAAGTTTGAAAATTTTTTTATTTCGTTTTATAATATCTGTAGGTATTCTATACACTCGTATACGTTACTCATAGCATACTAATGTATAGGTATATAAGATTTGACGACGATCGGGGAAACGATAGTGTTATTATTTATTATATAATATTATATCGACGGTTATCGTCAATCTCATTTCGTACGCGTACCTATACACGATCATTATTATATGCTCCTCTCGGCGGTCGAACAACTATATATATATATATAATATATATATATATGTATGTATGTGTAATATTATCCACGAAACTTCAAGCGCTATAATAATAATATAACGTTATACGACTTTGGTTCGACGAGGAAACATTATTATTATTATACCTTCGTACGCGTGCAGCAGTGTTTAATATACACGACGACTACGGCGAGTCGTCCAATATCGTAAAAAATATTATTGTCAAACGCGTATTATATTATTATCATCGTACTATAGATAATATAATATATATTTATATATATACACTTACCTTGTGTATCCGACCCGTCCCGGGGACCTGGTGTCCGCGATATTTATGAACTTTGCTTCGCAACGCAATAATATCTCGGTGTATAACAATATTATATTACCTACACAATATTATTATAATAATAATAGTAATAACGTAAATGCTCGTATTATTACGTGTATACAATATTATATTATTATTATGCGGGGAGGTAGGTATATATAGGTACGTTCCCCCACTTCTCGCCACCGTAGCTTACTGCTGCAGTCACCGTCGTGTAGGTATTATACTGCGGAGGTATATACCTATGTTTTACCATTTTTATTGGGCTGCAGACCTGCTGCGGGCCTCGCCGCTACTACACGCTGGAGATATGATTATAATAATATTATTATGTAGGTATTATTGTTATTGCCGCCGCCGCCGCCGCCGTCGTCGTCCGTTTCGTTTATTATTTAATTTTTTTTTATCTTTTTTTTTTTCTACCCGAGTGTCGTTTCATTTCGGGCGTGATATGATTATATCGCGAACGCGTACACGACCATCGTCATGAGCCGACGGCCGTCGACGATCGCCGTGTGAACGGGGTGGGAAAATCGAGAGGTAAGGACAAAAAACGTGTCTTTATCACGTCGCATCCGACTGGAAAATACAATAATAATAATAATATTATTATTGTCGCGCGCGCCCGAGTTTGTGTGTGTGTGTGTGTGTGTGTATGTGCGTGTGTGTTTGTGTGTGGCTTGACGACGTGTCCACCGCCTCGGGCATATATGTATATATATATAGAGGTACCATAGGTATATACACTCGTCGCACGACAGTATATTATATTTTTAGTAGACGCGCACGGGGGGAGGAGACAGCTGAGGGGAAAAAAAAGATTAAATTATGTAAACGAATCGTGTGAACCGCATGTAAAACGACGTCGTTACATACGGACGCCACGATATATATTTTAATAGACATTTTTTTTCTTTCACGAAAAAATATAATAATAATATATAGGTACCTACCTACCTATATACCTATACCTGCCCCGCGCCATATTCCGGAAGATAAAAATTGCGTTCAAACGGGTTTAAGCGCGAAGAGTTTTTTCGCGTGATTCGGCGGCGACGGCAATCAATTGTATTGAATATTATGTACACCGACTGGAGCAATAAATTCGAATTATCCGCCGTTCGGTGTTGTACGTGCTGACGGCGGCGCTGACATATTATTTCTGTATAATATTATTATAACATCGGTACACGCGGGGTACACGGAGAATATACTTTTAAATATTTACATAATATTCGTTTTAAATATTTTTTTTCTTATTTGTATACATCGTACCCACATTTGGCAGTGGAATAAAATACACTGTTTAGATCCGAATCTTTCGTAATAATTAAAATCGGAATACCGCACGGCATTTCGTTATTATTATTATTAAATAAATCGTTCGGATATTTGTCGGAACGACGCTCCATCGTGCACACGTCCTGCAGTATTATAGGTATATAATACTTACATAGCGCACAGACAGTCGGACACACACACACACACACACACACACACACACACACACACGCGCGCGCGTACTATGCGATCTAACTCTTGAGTTTCAGATAAAATATTATTATAACCTACCTCGGTTACACGACGATTATAATATTCGGACGATAACGATCGGATTCTTATGAAAATTCATTACACGGAGGAAAACGCGTATAAATTCGTTGGATGAAAAATGTGGTATCAGCACTAAGCATCTATGGACCGATATAATTTATACAAATCCGAATGTGTTTATGTTGGAACGTTTAAAAGTCACGTGACCGCTCGCGACCCATGGTATGGGTATATACGTCCTACCTACCTATAATATATTAATTTGTACTACCGAAACCAAAACGCATTACGATTACCACACACATAATATGACTATAGGCCGTTTACATATATATATATACCGTATAACAGTGGTACGAACACACACACACACACACACACACACACACACACACGCACGCACGCACAATGTGTCGTATCAATCGAACGTTTAAAATCTAACCCGTTTATCCGGCAGTGAAACCGCAACGCGTTTATCCGTCCGAACACACTCGGACGTCATCGTCGCTGCATCGCCGGCAGACTCTCGACGAGATATCATTATATACATATAGTATGTATCTCTGCCAGTGTGCTGTCATACAATGTATAATATTAATAGACGCAAGCGCGGGCACAACATAATACACATTATTGTACACACTGCAGCATAACATCGCCGCGCGAGCACAATAATAATAGTAATAATAATAACAATAATGCAAGGCAGAAAAAACAAAACAGAAAGCAAAAAAAAAAAACAATAGCAGCCGCGTACGAGTGCTGTGTGTAGTTGATCGCTGCAGTTGGACCGTCGGCGGTGGAGGGGCAAGGGGATAAATCGTGTATGTCGTGTGTACGAGCCGCGACGACCGCGACGGGAAGGAAAGAGAAGAACGTGTTGACATTAGACCTCCCGGCCGCCGCCGCCGGATTATTAGTCGACTAATAACGTCATCATAGGGTTTCCCGCGGCGTGCCCGAACAGATCCCCCCCCATGCCCCGCCCGCCGGGCATATTATTTATTACACGATTTAAGGTATACATACGTGTCTTTTATTTGACGGGTTGCACGCTCACTGTAAACCAGTCAAATTATTTCGTTTAGAAAAACGTGTTTGTGTGTGTGTGTGCGTGTGCGTGTGTGCGTGTGTAGGTGTACGCGAGTGAACGTGTGCGCCAGTGTGTGTTTTTTTTTTTTGGTCGGATACTTTAATAATATATACCTGGCGGCGGCGGCGGCGGTGGTATATAATACAACAAACGCGTGATATCGTTTTTATTATTATAATATTATTATAGTGTCCGTCGTCTCCGCTCTTGCCATTAGAGGCATAGGCGTCTCGGACATCGGAGCACCCGTTTTTCGAACAACCGTTTACACCACGCGAGTGTGTGTGTGTGCGGGGCTTGACCTTTACGCGGGCGTTGCAGTGGGCGGCGGCGCGTGTGGTGGCTGGAGGGCACCGAGTGCGCGTAACGGAAACGCGTCGAAACTTTTTGGAAAACTCGCGCGACGGGTGTATCGGATTTCCCGCTTCGCCGCCGCTGTTGCTTCCGTTGCCGCGGCGCGGAGAAGACGGCCGCCGTGCATATCGGTCGTGAAATCCGGTTTGGCCGCGTCAAAATACCGGATTTCGCGTATTATTACCAATATATATATTATATTATAATAATAATATGGCTGGCGATTTGTTTTTTTTTTGTTTTTGGCGTTTACCCGTCCAATAATAATAATCATTTTCCTTATTATTATTTAACTGCTGCACACGGTTCGCGACGGCTGCTGGAGCTGAGCATCGGTGATGGGGGGGGGGGGGGAGGGAAGGGTGACCGGTCGGTCGCGTCCGAGAACAACGAAAACCACCACCGCCGAGCGACGCGATGATATTATAATATAATACGTAATACAAAATCGTAAAATTACATGCCTCCGTCGCCGGACTGCGTATAATAATATATATAATATAATATCGCATAACGCACTGGAACGCTCGGGTATGATATTATACGGTGGGAGCGGAGCTGCGGGGAGGAAGGTATTTGGGTCTGGGCCGCCCGCTGGTCGGCGACGACGATTATGGCGCGTAAACTTTGACACGCACGGGCGGATAGGTGGCGGACAACAAAAAAAGAGAAAAAAGAGAGAAATATAATACGAGTAGCAGCCACTCTGCGGCGGCGGTGACATAATATAACAATATGTATTAATAATGGCCTTTAGTGTAGGACAGCGCGAAGGACGTAGCACGTCGCATTATTATCGCACACCTTTCCCACCTTTTAAGTTACGTACGTTTCATATAATATTATACACATACACACACACACACACACACACACACACACGCACACACACACACACCAACACCGGCCGTATGCAATAATAATAATAAAAATTGATCACACTGCATCGATATGCGCGCGGAGATACGGCCGCCCGGGGGGGCGAGTCGTCGACGCGTCTCCCATTCGGCCGGTCCGCAGATTTATGTCCCGTACATAATTTCCGTTCCCGTTTTTCACGCGCGACGGCGATACGGCATTACAGGCATGGGTAGGCACTCTGCACGTGCAGTGTAATACGCGCGCACCTATGTATATATACAATATATGCCTATACACATTATAATATATACAATAATAATAATAATAATAATAATATGATATTGTTAACCCCGTGCAGTGCATAATATAACCCTGCACACCTATATACATGTGTATAATATAATAATAATAATAATAATAATAATAATAATAATAAGTATGGTCACAATGCTCTTCGCGCCCAAGCCGCATGTGCGCACGGTGGCTCGCGGGGCGACGGGGGAGGTTTTTTTTCTTTCCACCCGATTCGCGACGCCGCGCCGGTGGCGGAATCCCGCGAGGGCGGGGGCGGTGGCGTGTAAATGTACCGCACGTCCGAACACGCTCCCACGGTGTGCGCATAACTATATAATATAATGCGCTACAGCCTCGCAGCACTCACGTGAAATCGCCACCGTTACGATATTACTATATCATCGTCATCGCCGTCGTATGGTCGTCGTCGTCGCGGTATTGTTGTAGAGCGAGTTATTTATTCGACGGGTTTAGGTCGGGAGATTTTTTCTTTCTTTTTAAACATTTTTTTTTTTTATTATTATTATTATTCTTTTCTGTTTTTCGAAAAGGGGATCGGCCGCTGTACGCGCGCATATATATTATCGCCACGGCGTGAGGTCGTCGTCGCAGGTCTTCCCGTAATATAATTATACGCACGGCAGCAGTCACTGCGCGTGTAGCAATTATCCGTATCGTCGTCGTCGTCGTCGTCGTCGTCGTCGTCCAATGCTCACACGTATAATAATAATAATAATAATATAGTGTAGTATAGTCGCGACAGGCGTTATATATATTTTACGATTTGACCGTCGTAAAGGTGTACGAACGACGGTATAATAATAGTATAACGCATAATCGCCGACGCCGCGCTGACGTTCGATTATTATCACTATTATGTACGCTTTGGTTTTTATACGGTTTTCAAAATGCGAACAATGCTCGACCGATATATAGCAGAGCGACTGTTAATGTAATATAATATACTATACCTAGGTACATAGTGATATTGTAAATTATAATACCGTGATAGGTAGCTACCGGTATCCATCCACTGGCCATAAAATAATACTACACCTATAATATACCCGGAGAATTATTTTGGTCGAACTAAATAGCAGATGAAATCATTTTAATAATAACAATAATCTTTATTTCAAATATATATATATATATATATTATATATATCGTATAGAGCTTAATAAAAATTATAGTAAAAATATGCAAACTATCCCCTACAAGCATAATACATTGTGACGGGATGAACAGATTGAGTTCATTACGAAAGTTTTCACAAAATAAACATAAATCGTATTGAAATTATGTACATTAAAACATAAATAACAATAACATGTCCAAAAAAAATAATACTTCATTATAATTGCATTAGGTGAATCTCTGAAAAATCTAGTTTTTTTTATATAAATGACTTGAACAAATTTAAATAAAAAAATGCATGGATATTAATTTTGAGCAATCTACATATTTGAATAGTAGCAGGTATACAACATACTTTGATTCCTATTTGCTTTTAATATAATAAAATAATATGATAATATAAGTTATTACTGTTATTACTAATCGATGGGAATTCGTTATTGCTGCACATCGGATTATTATCCTGACGTGTGCGTGGCTAGTAACCAAGAAAGAAACCGCCTAGCTTACTCGACAGATGGCAACGAAATGTACTTCCTCTTTTTTTAAAGTAAAATTTAAATGATGTCAAGTTAGTTTTATATTTTTTGTGCCCCCGAAAAACAGGTCCAATTTATAATCGTATCTCTACAATAAACATAATAATTAATATTATTAATTCGACAGGTAATAAATGTTAAGACACGTCCGTGTGTGCCTATGTTTTTATCAAATTGTTCATCGATTCATGTTCAAGATACGTATCACATATAAGACCGTATGCGTTATAATTTACAACGTATATATCTTTATTATGCCGTTCGATTGTTGGTTTGTCATGGATGTATAACAATATAATTTTATGAAACGTCTATTTGACCCTTCGCAGTGAATACATCGATGACCAATCAGTATTTTCGACATTTACGTAAAAAGTGCAGTTTACAATCGATTGACATAAATAGGTACACAATATTCGGGTAATTCTACAAGTTGTGAATGTGCACGCTCGCAAACGAGTTTCTTCGGCCGAGAAGAGACGACGCCTATGATGACGGAAATATCTCGTATAGCCACAAAAACCATCGTTGTCGTCATTGTCGTTGAAGTCTCCGCCGCCGTCGCCGTTGACGTGCATCTTAATTAACTGTATTGGTATGCGATCGGAATTCGTGTTCAAACACGCGCACGTGCGCATATACTTATTATTATATAAATACAAAGTGCATTTACCACTCTGGTGGATTCGACGTGTTGATTGATTGGACCGTACACACACGACCGCGCACTGCACACAAGCACGTAGAAGATCTTCATGTGCGCTCGTGACTGTGTGGGTATTATCGTAGATATACATACATATAATATCAATACCCGTGTATACCTAATACACCTATTACCGTCGTTTATAAGTGTTTTTCGTTTTCGGTTTTGGTATTTCCTCCTCGCCCCACACCGCCTCCATCACCCGCCCATCAACCCAGCCTATAATAATAACGTTACGTATAAATTTGAAAGGCCGACTTATCGACGAAATTATTAACATATGTGTTGCGTGGGCGTACGTTGTGTGATCCACAGGTTTCAGGGAGACGGCGTTCATCTACGCGATCACCAGCGCGGGCGTGACGCACGCGGTGTCCAGGGCGTGTGCTGAGGGCGTGATCGAGACGTGCACGTGCGACACCACTCACCAGCGACGTGGACCGTACATCCAGAACTCCGTGCCGGGCGTCAAGGACTGGGAGTGGGGTGGTTGTTCGGACAACATTGACTTCGGGTACAAGTTCTCCAGGATGTTCGTGGACACTGGCGAGCGGGGCCGCAGCCTCCGGGAGAAGATGAACCTGCACAACAACGAAGCCGGCCGCATGGTGAGTGTCTAAAGCCTCATTTAATATCATAGTATAATATACGTAGTATAAGAATTATTGAGGGTAATTATAGCTAATATATGTTATTATATTACACGAGGGATAACGCCGTTAGGTACAGTGTCTCAAACGTTTGGGTGCGTAAGGTATGTTTTTTTTAGCTTTAATTTTTGACAAAATATTTGTGTTTTTCTTTTTAATAGTGAGCGTAACCCATTTTCTATAATCTCGTCTACAGCCTCTTATATTATCATTATTTTGACATGTCATCTGTAAAAAGTTCAGTTGATTTTTGGTACTCGTATTTGGATAGCATTATGATTTCTGGGCCGGAAAGAGAATAATTCAGTCGTTAGCTCTTATGGCGAAAAATTTGCAGTGGAAAATTATGACTATATATCGTGTGACGATACTACTCGGAAAAATAATTTATTCTAATAGAGTTCCGGGTCAGCATTGAAATATATGGAAAACAAAAATTGCGTACTCGGATTTTGTTCAGTCTGTATGCATGTTAAAGGGGCCGTCGAAAAATTCGCTTCCGAGCCAAAATGTTTATGTGATACATCGCTAAGAATTATTATATTATTATATGTGAGTGCGCCAAGAGAGGATGTATAGTAGCAGCAGCCACAGTAGTAGTTGCTGCACCAGCACAACTAGTAGTTGTATAGTAGTCACTAGTCGGGGACGGAAAAAAAAAACAGATAAATAAAAAATGACAAAAAATCGAATCCCGGCGGGAAATTTTTTCAAATATGTTTCAACAGATTTTTGTCGCATGAACGGCTTTGGTATACTGCCGCCGCTGCCACCACCGTTGATGCACACACACGCACAAGCGAGGTATATAGTAGTTTGATTAGTCGTTTGGTATGCGGTTTACTCTTCATATTTGTTATTTTTATTTTTTGTCTACATACACACACACACACACACGCACTCAATATCGTTTATAAGTGTGTGTAGTAATATTATTCACTTTTATCCACGTCTGCTGCCGTTGACCGTTTTCCCATCGTCTGGTTGGCCCGGGCCACCGGTTATCCTCCGCCGCTGCCGCGGCCGTCGTCTCAATTTAAATATAACGTAAACATCGGAAAGACGACAAATCGGCGGCGGCCGCCGCCTCGTGTGTATGTAACATATATATTATTATTATAACACATAATAATATCATTATACTTGCGTTACATTTTATAATATTGTGTTCCAAATAAATAATAATATAATGTAATACTATATATCCGCCGGCGCTTGAAACGGATATTACCTAGGTATACCTAAATTGCGATCGTTCAGGTATAATAATATTATGTGCAAATAATATATCACGTCCGTCCAGCGATATATTTCGCAATAAATATTAGCGAGAAGCGGCTACACGCTACAAGACGCACCTATATAATTGGCGATGTAATATGGCCTGATGTAAACAAGTAATTTTTTTCTAGTGCACAATATTTTAAATGTTTGATGCTTATTCGCATATTTTTGACGATTGTCTAGTGCACCAATGGTCTTGATCTACTAATATATTATACATTACCTATACCGATGGACAATATTACTGACCTTTTTGATTGGTATTTGACTTTATTGTTGAATTTTAAATTTTAGTTAATTTTTTTCAAATATTAAATTTATTTTAACATACAAATGATGTATTTGTAAAATAATTTATGTTTTGGTATAAATTATCGATTTAAATTTTTTTCATCATAAAAAATGTGATTTTGATATTACTTACTTTAGATTTCTTAGAAGATTGTTAACGTTTTTTATCGATATTTAACATGAATTTAAAGCTCTGCTTATACGTCCATCTAAGGAGCTTCGTCCCTCAAAACCCTTCTTTACTGTCCACTACCCCCTCGATGTTCCGTACCATCGTGTCCTAAATATGTGACACAAGTTTTTGACGAATGCAGTCTACAATATGTACGACGATCTTCATGAATGTATATATATATATAGGTAGGTACCTCTATAATATACAACAGTACGGCCGCGAGCGAGCTCGGGAAAACAATAAAACGGTCGGGCAGATACCTACACATATATATTATATGACTTGAAACAATTAATAACAATCGCTCGTGCACGCGAGAAGAAGGAAAAAAAATCACCGAACTCGGAGGGGGCATTGCGCACACACGGCGGCGGAATACCTGTGTGCATATATATATATATATATATAAACATATAACATTATCGGTATTATTATTATTATTATTATTATTACGTATATATTGTTTTTAATTTATTCTCTCCTAACACCGTGTGGTCTGCAGGCGGCGGTGGCGGTGGGCTCACGAGAGAGAAGTGTATCTAAATAGATTTGTGTGCGTGTGTCGGAACCGGCGAGTGAGTGAGCGAGAGAGAGACCTCCGTCGCCGACGTATATAATATTATAATATTTACCTCGCGACGGGTCGTACAACGTGAGCGGCATCTATCATAATAATATTATCATGTACCGTATATTATTATTATTATTATTATACTGCGGGCAGCATCATGACCCGCGGTCCACCGCCCCGCGCCCGGCGGGTTTCGCTACGCTCACCGCTCGCGCTCGCCATGACTAAAACGCCCCGCACGGTCGTCCGCCGTCTTCGTATTCGTCGCCGTCGTCGTCATCGTCGTAGCCGTCGTCGTCGTCGTCGTCGTCGTCGTCATCGTCGCGGTAGTCGTCGTCGCGGCCCACCCACACTCGCGTGTGTTTACCGCAGCGCGAGCTTTACACACGCACACACCGCTCGTCCGTATATTATAATAGACCCTGGACAGCCTCCTGCCACCCCACCCACCCCACCCCACGTGGCTCGGCCGCGTCGCCGCCGCGGCGGCATATCACAGCGTGCGGTTTCCCCGCCGTCCGCTCACCGTTTGTTGTAATTATTTCACTATATTACTTCCTATTGTACCTGCCTATATATTATACGACACGGCGCACACAAACTATATATACATCACATATACCTCGACCGCGGTCGTAGTACCTGCAGCAGTAGGTATATGTCTACCACACGTACCACCTATATATATTGTATAATATGTATATCACATTATTATTTATGCGTTTGTGCTCGTGCTGTGTATAATGTATGTGCGCGCGTCTCTTTGTACACGCGTGTCCCGGATTTGGGGAATCGATTTGTTTTTTGTAAAGAGTCCTATCCTTTTTTATGTAGAAGTGTCTGTCAAATTAAAAGCTTTCACCAATTCGGCTGGTGCATGTATAGCTTTGGCTTCCAGATACTGAAATTTTTTTGTCAAGGATTTGCGATCGCGGCTTGTTGATAAATTATAGGTTCATACGCATACGTTTTTAGTATGATTTATAATTACTAGAACATTTTTATAAGAATGGCCGAAGAGCTTTAGATGTTTTTCCTCTGTCGTTGTATAAAAGCCACTGCATTTCTTACGCGTAAACTGATCCTATACGATTTCCCACCTCCTAAACGCGAATAAGTCTGAAACTCGTCACTGAATTTCGGGTCGTTCAAGTCTCCGACGCGCGGAATGACCACTTCTCGGCAGACGTTTTACAATGTTGCACACACACACTGCCGCCGCTTACACTGTGATGATTTTTGATTTTAAAATGTATACATATATGTATATATATATTATTATTGAGTATTACACAATATTGCTAGTACGTTGTGTAATACTCTGTCGATATAAATTCAAATGCGTAGCGAATGGGTGACTATAATATATTATTATGCGTAGGAAGCGAGGGGTTACAATATAATATATGTATGTATGGAGACGAAATGCGCGAAGATGAGAAGACGAGTCTGCAGCAGTGTAGTGAGCATATACAGCCGGTGGGAAACGAGAGAAGAGGTTCACAGGCGGAGGACGTTATGTATTACAGTGATAGGCAGAAGAAGGGGTATAATAATACTATAATGTAGCTCGCATACGACAATAATATACGAGAATAAGTGATGATGTCGCGAAAATAGTCACCACCAATGAAGGAGGCTGCACCGTAATAGATAATCGGCTGACAGCGAGCCGCCACCGCCGCCGCCGCCACCGGCCCCATTGAAAAGCGTTCACAATAAATTTATCAACAAGACAGTCACCGGCGCACACCGCAGCAGCCCCGGAGCTTTGATAGATCGTCAGTACGCGTGCGCGCGCCAATTGTCCTGTATATTATTATATATACGATATACGCGCAACGACGACGGTCTCCGGACCGGACCGGACGACGGCGACATGCGTGGTAGTTATAATATGCGTCGTCGTCGTCGTATGAGTTGAAGACGCAGCCGAACGAGCGGAAAGATATATATATATATATATATATATATAATATGTATATAAAAAAGTAAATAAAAAACCACACTTATAGACCGAGAGACCCGCGCGCGAGTGTGTGTGTGTGTGTGTGTGTGTGTGCGTGTGTGCGTGTGTGCGTGCCCGGCAGCAGCATTACATCAAGCGGTGTAATTGACATGACAATACGAGGAATAATTTTAGCTTTCACCCCGTTTGACATTGTCAATTATATGATCTCGAATCTTACATGACGTTTCTATAGTCTTGGTCGGTTTTTTTTTTCCGTCATTGATTTTCGCTCGTCTCCCCGTCCCTCTCGCACTCGGCTCTCTCGTTCGCTTCTTTTCCGTTTTTTTTTTCACAATAGACCTTCTGCCGCGGTCCGATGGCTGCAATATAATATATTATATTATATTATTTATATTTATACACCGGGTCGACGACGGTTTTTCCTCGACGGGTCGCCGCCATGTGAAACACAAACGATGCGACAATCCCGACGCTACTCACAACCGTCTAATTACGATTATTTACGATTAAAATCGATATAATATACGCGTATCCGTTTATTATTTATAATACATTATTATTATTTCAATATAATACTACGATGGGCTCTACAACCTCTCGGAAACCGCCGCCGCGGCGCTGGAGGGGTATATATTTTATACGCATATAATACGATCTCGCGTCCGTCCGCATTTAGCCTATTGGGGTGAGGGGAGTGATGGTGGGGAAGGTACCTATCTAGGTAGGTACGTGGTGTTTGTTTCGCAGCGTTATTTATATCGTTCAAAACGGCCGCTTGTGTCGTTTATATATATTATATTATTATACTCTTCCCTCGACCGTACAATAGCTGCAGCGCGCGGTCTCCCGACAATAAACGAAACGATATATACCTAATAATAATAGTAATAATTTCCAGCCGATGGACGTTTTCGCGATACGCGGCGCTCGAGAAAATATGTTATTATATTTTAAGTATGAATGCCGAAGATTTGACGTGGTTATAATTTACGCACCGTCCCGGGCACGCCTATATGTATAACCATATATATATACATATGTATATAATATATAATATTTTATCGCATCCCATTCCGCGGTGGTAGCGATGTCCGACGGTTTTGGTCTTGGTTTTCTTTTTTGTTATTCACGTTTTCGTTCAATATAATAATATATACGTATATGCACCAGCTACATTGATAGGTATATAATATGAGTATTATATATTATATACATATGTATGCACCTCTACTCGTGGGTGGCACACCGCGAGATTAGTTTCGGACGATTGCGCCGCGCGTTACTTTTGAATTTCGACCATAGCGTAATAATATATAACATTATATTTTACGTATATATGCATAATATATATATATAGGTACTCCTTTATATATTATACGTATATGGTTCCCATACTACGGCGTGATCGCTGTGCACCGGAATCACGGCACGTCGCCGCGGTGCTTATTATAATACTTTATAATATATACACACGTATATCATAATATATAAGACGTATTGTGATGAGCGCTGGCAAAGAGTTCTGTGCTCTACGCACGTGCTTTGTGTAAAAAAAAAAATATATATATATATATATATATAATATGTGCACTTGGTAAAAGTCGAGAGCGGTCATGTGATATGCGTCCGCAGTGGAGATTTTTAGGAAAATCGGTCGACCCGCTAACTGGTGGCGCGATAAATGGGTCACGACCCGTTGATTCATTACGAGTTTCCAAGGTCGTCTCTGCACGATATCATTATAATATAATATATACGTATAGCATCGCATGCACCGCAAAAAGCCCGGTCATCAGAGACCTGGACAAATCGTGCAATGACTTACGTTACATCGCGCACCGATAACCTTCGACCTCGCATTATTCGTGTACACCTACAATTTATGGACCGTATATTATAATATTATATCAATAACTGCAGTATATTTTGATACATGATATTTGACTGGTCCTGCAGCGGTGCGCAGGTGCAGGCTGCAGTTTACCCCGCGTTTGCCTCAGTTGATCATCGCCAAACGTCGAGTCCTGAATAGACCCACAATACTATTCTTAAACTCGACACTGTACGTAGGACCGGCCCCGCGGTTCATACCGCAATATTTTGTTAATTTACCTGTACCTAAAACATAAACAGACGATGAGATTATTGTACTTGATAATGTTTGTAAATATATATATTTTTCTAAACAATAATATTAATAACATTATTCTGACCGATGCATCGCAAGTACCTACGTATTTTGTCATTTTGAACGACTGATGATGATCGACAAATTTAAGTTGGGCTGTCTTATAGATGCTTCTTTATGTAATTCCATTTGCAGCGTGTCTATAACCTCACCTCTCGGTTTCTTATGTTTCAGCACGTACAATCGGAAATGAAACAGGAATGCAAGTGTCACGGCATGTCGGGCTCGTGCACAGTGAAGACGTGCTGGATGAGACTGCCCATATTCCGTTCGATCGGCGACAACCTCAAGGACAGGTTCGACGGCGCGTCCAGGGTGATGGTGGGCAACGCGGGCGGTCTCCGCCGGTTGCGGCGCAAGGACAACGCGCAGAACAAACACTCCGATCAGCAGCAGCAGCCGCAGGACCAACAGTCGCAACAGCAATCGCAACAGAACGGCGGCGGAGGCGGCGGCGGAAGGGGCGGCGGCGGCAGGGGAAGGAGGCGCGGCGGCGGCCGGAACAGGTACAACTTCCAGCTGAAACCGTACAACCCCGAGCTGAAGGCGCCCGGTACCAAGGACCTGGTGTACCTGGAACCGTCACCCGGGTTCTGTGACCCGAACCCGCGTCTGGGCGTGCTGGGCACTCACGGTCGCGCGTGCAACGAGTCGTCCATCGGCGTGGACGGGTGCGACCTGATGTGCTGCGGCCGCGGCTACAAGACCCACCAGGCCCTGGTGTCCGAACGGTGCAACTGCACTTTCCTGTGGTGTTGCGAGGTCAAGTGCAGCGTGTGCCAGTACAGGAAGACAATCAACACGTGCCTGTAGACCACGCACCGCATGCAACTGCACTGCGGTCGCAACCGCGGCGGCGGCGGCGGTGGGCACGGGTACCAGCTGGCGGCGATTATATGACATCATTCCATTCATCCATCATTCCTAACGCACGTATAATAATAATATTATACTCGATTTACATCATTTACGTATTGTGTACACACGCGCGCTTCTAAACGTAAATCATTATTATCATATTTTTTACGATTTCTGTTCTATAACCATTTTACATTATCCATTTTATTTTAATAATATAATAATAATTAATAATATTATTTATAACGCGTCCGCTTTGCGCGCGATCGTTGAAAACGAACACTCGACGGTGCCGCTCACACCGTCAGCACAATATTATCTCAGCTGCGACCAAAATCTCGTCCGCTCCGATGCCGTTTTTCGAAACGTAATCGGCGCGAGACGGGAGAGCGGCATTATAAGTCGAGAATTTCGTTTTAAACGATTTTTTTTTTTTTTTAATTATTGTAATAACTTCTACTTTCTATTTTCAATTTTTTTTTTTATAAAAATATTATGACACCGGCAAAACCTAGAATGCAAACCGTTATTCCACACGTATTTTCGAATGTGTACATCCTGATATATACCAAACGTTAATGTTTTTTTTTTTTTAAATAAAAATTTAAAGTTAGTATAGACAATATAACATGAACTCATATTTCAAGTTTATATTGTAATTTTGTAATTATTGTGCAGAAATTTAATTTATTATTATTATGCGATTAATTTATTATCATTTTTTTTATATAAGCAAATTATAGTTGTTTTTTTTTATTATTTTTTTTTTTATTATGAACTGTATTGAGTACCCTCTTAACTAACATTGTCATAAAGATTTTTTTTAATTTGTATTTTTTTTTTTTTATTATTATTATCATACTATTATTATTGGTTAAATATATTCTAATAACTAGTAGTATTCTTATTTAAAAGTTTAGTTCCTTTAGCTATATATTTATGTAATTTAAAAAAAATTGAAAAAATAGACAAAAAGTTTTACACAAAACGTGATCCTATACATTGTAAAATATATATATATATTATTTATATATATATATTTATATATAAATATATTTAATACAAAAAAAAAAATCGAAAGTTTTATTTGTATACTATTTAATAATCATTATAATTTTAGCTAAAGTACACAACACTATACCTAGTTCTCCGACGAGATATTGTTGAAAAAAACTTTCCTACTATAAACATGTTTTTTTGTAAATAAATGGTTTTGTAATATTTTTGTATCACTGCGTACATGTTTATTTCGTATTCACCCGACCCGCAATACCCGAGGACCTTGGCGTTGCCATTTTAGTACGGATGAGTGGAAGAAAAAAAAATGAAACAAAATATATAACATAATGCCCGCTCTCTCTCTCTCTCTCTCTCTCTCTCTCTCTCTCTCTCTCTCCCTCGCCTCCTCTCCCTCCCACGATACAGAGAGACTTTTGTGCCGTTGTTGTGCCGAAGATAAACGGTTAAATTATTAATTCCGCGCCGCCAAGGTTTCCAGAGGTTTTTTTTTCCGTTTCTCTCCGACGAAGAATAATCAAACTACTATAATATACACTCACACACGCGCACACGCTACCGTGCGGGCGTATTCCTCCAAGTACAAACATTATTGTTGTAATGCTCGCTCGCATTTAAATGCATATATGGTCGGTAGACTGCAACCTGCGATGCACCGCGGTCTAAGCAGATTTTCACCCACCTGTACAATACTCGCGCGCTGCATCCGGCACGTGCATTATAATATATTTTGTATTCGAGTGCCCGTCGACGACCGCCCCAACCACCGCAACCGTGACCTATCCTAATAAAACCTTACTTAACCTAACGTGATGGTTCACGTGCGCCGCCTACGACGGCTGCCGCGAAAGCGCATCGGTACAGTATCACGCTCGAGGCCTTAAATTAAGAAGCTCTGAAAGCTTTTTTCTTTCAAAATCGAATAGGATTTTCGTCGTTTATTAATTTATAATACTATAGTGGGTGTATAAAATATTATACTAAATGTATTATACCTTTAAGGCGACAAGATTTCCGTCACCATTTACGTTAGTCATAAAACTGTGTAAAAGGCTACATCTGTACAGCAAAAAAAAAAAAAACAATTCACTCGTCCAAGAAATAGCGTAAAATCAATAATAATTGTTTTCCATCTCCAGCTGTCCGCCAATACGGGTCGTTGGTAAATCATGGGTTGTTGGTATATTTTAACAGGACGAATCTAATGGTATCATCATAAAAAATTGTTGTCGTTTATAATAATAAATAGGAAAGAAACGCGGGGGGGGGAGTGGTTTTTTGTGGGCAGCATATAGCTGTGCAGTGCCGACTGGTTCGAAGACACCCCCTCACCGGGGAAGACCTACCTATAACGGTAGTATTAAGAGCGGTCGTATCACGTAAATATAGTGATAAAAATCGAATAAACAATTAGGCATTAATAATGTAATCTGTCATAATAACAAAACGCAAACGTATTTTTCTTGCGATTCGCTTGTCTTGGTCGCGAATCTCGCACGGGAGACAAGTCTACTAGCACTTAACTGTGTGTGTGTGTGTGTGTGTGTGTGTGCGCGCGTATGTTTTGTAAGCCAACAGATTTCTCCGCGGGACGAGTGCCGCCGTCACTGCCGGTCCAAGACGTATCGCCTTTCACTGGATATTCAACTCGTATTTATTTATTTATTAATTTTTTGTTACATCGAATTAATTTATTTTCGACGGATCGTCGCCCGTGACACATCCCGCGAGCGGTAAATATTATTACTGTCATCGTCGGAGAGCCGGCATTCTCTATATAGTCTCGACGCATGGTTTTTTGATGTATATAGGTATATATAATATGTGGTATACCTATATTATCCGCCGTAGCGGGTTGGCACAGGTCTTAGCTTGAAATAACAATATCATAACATTTTTTACTGCCACTGGAATGTGCAGGGCCCCTGACGAATCGGCCGGGTTCACCGGACCGCAGGATGTGTGAACGGACATAATAATATTTTCATATGTTCAAGAAAATCGTAATAACAGCATATCCTCATTATGTGTACATAGACGTGGCTTACACTTTCGTAATATATTTAAAGGTACCACGGCCATTGATCGAGTTTACGGGTATTCGCACCGCTCATTTTTACCAATGTGAGTTTTTTTTTTTAAATCGTTGAACCGCAGTACCAACAATTTATGTCGAAATGTATACACCTATAATAAGTCAATCGTCGTATATGGATACGAAACCTTGAGCTGTATATGAATATAGGTAACATATTATTCGATTGCTTTTTGCATTCATTAAAATTCGTTCGAAAAACATGGCATCTTCTAACCAAATTTCGGAAATATTCTCGGTATCGAAATCGGACAACAAGTGCGTTTTGGAAACGATCAGTCGAGCACATTATAGTCGGGCTTGTTGACGATGATTGCTCCGTTTTGTATGTTATGGATCGATAATATGATGTGATTCGGCTTGAATGATTGGTCGAAATTATCCGGTTGTCATCTTCCCCTCCGATTCATTTGACAAAGTGTTTCTCGCCGGTGTTATTTTTTCACTTCTGTATCGATCATTGATCAATCATAATCACGTTGGTGTCCGTCGTGCAGGTTAGGTTAGGTTATAAACGTCGGACGGAAAACTCAAGTTCGGCAGCTCGCATTTAAACAGCATTCTTTGAATGAAACACGGACATCGAGAAATAAAATTGCATATCGTTAAACACTCATTATATAAATAAATGCGGATCACTGTTGTCGGGCTTACTTTACATTGACATTGAAACACAAACGTTTATTCTATTGTTAGTTACTTTTGCACACTGGCACAGGTATTATAATATTATGTAAAACGTTGAATTAATATTCTATCGCTGGAAATCACGTCTCACGCGGTCATCGTACATTTTATAAAAAATATTTCTGCCAGACAATAATTTTCTCTCTAAAAAGAAAAGGAAGATCTTGTGAAATGGTATAGGTACTAGATATAATATAGGCACCTATGAGTAATATCAAGAGAATTAAAGCTATTTAATAAAGAATTGTTACTTGCAGAAAGTGAAATCTATTGGGCCACTAATATTTTTACATATTGTGATATTTTAATACAATCAGACAAAGTATCCTATGCTCAATTATTATTTTAATTTTTGAGCATGGTTTTCTACAATAGGTGTATAGACAAGTTGGCATTTACGCATACATACAATACATAAAAGCATAATAAGATTTAAGTCGACTTAAATGGTTAATGGCTAACATGAATGTATTTTTTACTATGTGTGGTTCAAAAATTACCTAAAAAAAATTGAAATCTATATTTTCACCCGAATTTGGCATTACAAAAATGTACGAAACTTTAAAATACGAACTTTTGATTGATACTTGTACTTGTTGTTATCAAGTTTCATACCATAAAAACCTAAGCAGCAGAAAATAATACTAATAAATAATAATAACTTAATAAATATAAATCAGGTTGAACCAGGTAACGTGACTCCTCGAAATTGCATTACAATAATATTAATAAATCACCATAAAATGGCTCACTCGTGGGCGTTAAAGTCTCTTTCAAACATCATTTCCACAATCTGAGTCTTCAAATTTTTTATCCCATCCCCAGGAAATATTGTGACGACGACGTGCAGTAAAATGTACACTGTTGTTTACAATATTATAAGTAGGTATATATATGTACCTCTTAATAGTAATAATAATAATAATAATAATAATAATATAACTGTGTACGGTAAAGTGTTGGTGAAACCGTTCAAAGTATATTATTAAATGCGTGTTCAGTTATTGTTGATTTTTAAATAAATGTTATTATTATCATTGTATAATATTAAATCGCCATGAAACATATCATTATTCTATACTACAGCAGCATACGCATATAATCAGTATATTATGTACAGTCTACAGCAGTGCGCGTGAATAAACAATATTACGTAAGTACAGAGGTATAATATTGGGCGTTGCAGTGAATATATTGTAATACGGCGAGCGAAATGCGATTTCGTCGATCAGCCGTTATGTACACCGCTTACCGTTTTTTTTTTTTTTCATCTGTTTTCGTGCTCCGTATCACGTGTGGAGGAGACATGCGCACACAATTTGTCCGAACAAAAAAAAAAAGGAACGTATTTGGAATTCATCGCGGTAAACACGCGCGCTGTAGAAACTGCAACCATAATAATATATAACACAATCCGTTTAGGTATATTATATATTGTGCTGTATATACTTATAATATAATGTATACATATATATATATATATGTAGTGTGTGTGTGTGTGTGTGCGTGCGTTTAGTATATATACGATTATATACATTATTATGTCGTGTCCTGGCCGTATTTCGCGTGTTGTATATATACAATACCCGCGATCTCGCGGGTCGGCGGCGGCGGGGACCGGACGGTGGGTGATTGACGACCCCATCGCTCTTCAATATGAATGCGCACACGATGCACACACACACACACACACACACATACACTCACATTTAAGTGTATACACATATTATGTGTGTAACGCTGTAACGACGATGTTGAAGCATATTATTATAATGCATACGTATTATGTTATTATTATTATTATTATTATTATTATG